TTCCTTTACTGACAACTCAGAGTTGTCTGCTCCTAGTTTACATTTAATAAAGTTTTCCTTTAACTAAGATACATAATAATGAAATGAATTCCTAACATTGCACATGTTACAAAAATAAAGATAGAATCTCATTACTTCATAATAATCATGACATTTTGTAAACCTGATCTCCCAATCGAACAACTCATAGATAAGCTATGAATAAAGAACTTGAGCTAGAACAAATTAATCAAGAACTTCAAGAGATATTACAATCAGATGTAGCCATAAACAAATAAAATAAGAAATATATAAAGGATCTGGAATATAAATATATTCAGTGCAAAAATGAAATTCAATCTCACAATAAAGAACTGAAACAACTTGAGAATGCTTTAGAGAAAGAAAAAACAGAATTGAGATTGGAAATATCATTCCTCAATAAAAGCTTATATTGAGTTAAAAAGTAGTTCTGAGACAAAATATCTTATATTGATAATATAAAGAAACAATTACAAGAATCAGAAGAGTGGATTCAAAATCTGAGGTATAAATTTAAAGTTATTTTTTTCTGGAGAAGCTCTCCAAATTTATATAATTCAGAAGAGAAAGATATAGATATGGCAAATCTTAACCTTTTTATACAAATTGATAAAGGTTTGAATCATATTAAAAATTATATTCAAGGTGCTGGAACACCATTAAATAATCCTATGAATATTATAAATGGTATTAGAGGTTCCTTGAATGATGTCCGTCTTAATTATCAAAATACGTTCCAGGATTTAGATGGTATTATCACTCAATGAGATGATATAGATAATCAAATAGTTCAGTTATAATGAGATGTTAATTTCTATAGACAATGGAATATTGTTTTGCAAAATCAAGTTAATCAGCTTATCCAAAATAATTTTCAAAACCAAGTTAATCAAATTACTCAAGAATGGGATAACTTATAGAACCAAGTTAATTTAATTATATGAGAATAACATAATTTATGAAATCAAGTTAACAACTTACTCTCGAGTGTGACAATTATCAGAATGATCTTACTTTGATGACTATAGCTTATAATAATGAACAGGATGAACGTTGTCACCGGTAATTCTCATATCATAATAAAAATAGATGTGTTGATGAATTTATTTGAAAAAAGTTCACTATTCAATTATTATTACAGTGATACCATACCAATAGTAGGGATTTACAACAAAGATATAATATGTGAGGGTATTTGTGGTATAATATTACCTTGGTATTAGAAGAACAATCTAAACTCAAGCATATTTTTGAAGTTCTGTATAGATTAAAAAACTATCGATTAGAACAAGAATTGTGAAGATATTGAACTGATAAAGGATTATTAGAATATAATTGAGATCAGCTTTTTGATAGATACTATAATAAATTCAAGGATCAGAAGGCAAGTCATATCAAGTGGAAAAAAAGACATCGCAATTCATAGCAATTAATTTTAAATTTACAAGTCCAAATTTTATTACTACAGAATAATCCACTAAATATGGCAGAAGCTAGACATTTACCAGTATTAAAATTAATACAATTGGCTCTTGCAAATTTCTCATCTTATATTGGTCAAGAACCTCCTGATTATTATTTTGATAAGATTATACAATTATGGACATTTGCTGAGGGGCATATGACAGTTCTTAAAAATGCAAATGCAGGAGATTTTGATGATACGGTCAAGTGTACTATATTAAAATCTAAGATGGATAGAAAATATGCTCCAGTGCCAGCTAATAATCTATATATTGTTGATAATATTCCCCTTAATACTCTAGCAACTTTGAGGGCATGGGCAAGAACAAAATATCAATGAGAAACAGATGGAACCAAACAATCTGCAATTCAAAGATTAACTCAAGAAACATTTCAACCTTTTGATACTTCAGATATCTATGAAACTAGAATTTGACCTCTTTTATTAGATGTACCCAATAATGATGCTCAAGTCTTGGGATTTTTTAAAAGTCAATTACCAGGTGAGCTTTTCACTTGGATGAGGTTCGATGCTCCAGCAAGTATTAATGAATTTTTTATTGCATTAAAAAATATGTGGTTATAACGTACTCCAAACCTGTATGGAGGATCAAATTTTGATCAAGTCACAGTTATTAGGTCAGAGACTAGCTTTTCAACTAATATATTATCTACAATTCTTAGTCAGAAACCAGCTCACACCCATTACAAAATAAATCTATGATACCAGTACAATATTAATAGAAACGATCTAATTTTAATGATTATTCTAGAGTACTAGATAAATATATGCTAGAAAGATCTCCAGATTGGTATGGCATAAATTCTGTAAGATACAGTATATCCATGCCGATATTATAAATCCAACTCCTTCAGCCAGTCAAATTGTGAAATCTCTAGCCAATGATCTTTATAAAAATTGTTCAATATGTTTTCAGCGAAACTAGTACAATCGAAGAATAAATATACCAGTACTGATAATATAGATGAAATTACTAATGGTATTTCAAAATTATCATTAAATTTAGCAAAAATGGCAAAAGAGGTTAATGCCATTAAGAAATCATCTCAATATAATTGTTCAAATTGTAATAGAACTGGACATAATTCTCACAAGTGTACTCATAAGAAAAGATCCAAGAGCAGATCTAAAAGAGAGGCAGTATTAATAAGGTTGCTGTAGATTCAGGTTCAGATATATACTCTTCCGATAATAATTCTTCAGATAATAATTCGGATTCTAGGGATTCCTTGTTTGAGGTTGAATCTGATCATAGTTATGATATACATATTTCTAATAAAAAAAAACCAGTAAAGCAGAAGAGTAAATTGGATAAATCATTTTTAAAAAGCAGTCTAGTTCAAAAAAGAGACAGAGTCTTGAATCTCCGATTCAATGTATTTCACAAAAATCACAACTGAAATCAGATACAATTATCGATGCACAAATCTGAAAAACTATTCTAGCTATGATTAATGATCTAAAGGTTATAGAAACAATTAAAAACAATATCTTTAGTATTACTAAAACTTCTACGAATAATATAATTCTACCTATTACGAATTCAGATTTTACAAATTATCGAGAACTAGCCCCAGAAATACCTGATTCAGATAGAGAAGAAAAGATATTAAATGATCCTATGGAAATCGATTTCATTCAAAAAAAAGTTCCAGCTATGAATGTTGTAACTACAAATGCAAAAATAAATGATTAGTAATTCCGGCAACCACAGTCAATTCCGATGCAAATTTTCCAATTATAACAGAGGATATTGTTAAATGTTTAAAACTTATAATCGATGCAAAAGAAAAACACGATCTTAGTGAAATTGCTACATCACCTACTGAATTCATTGGAATTGTCTGTAACGTTCCAGTAACTTTCACCTCAGGCTGTACTATATATTCTGATTTTGCTGTTATTAAATATCATAAGCCGATGCTTATTTTGCTAAATACTCTTCTAAATAAATATAATTATGATTTGCTTGTATCGAAATGAGAATTACAACTTGTATGTAATGGTAAAGAGTATTTTATTCTGATAAATATGCACAAAGTCAAGAATAAGCTCAAAGTAAATTGCGCTACCGCATCTCAGGGTGATAAGTCATTGGTATCCGAAGAAATGAATAGTGATAAAGATTACAATGTACCATTAGAAGAATGGCATGCTCCTACGGGTTTTAGCACAGATTCTGACAACTCAACTTTAAAAAAAAAATGCGTAAATTGCGAGATATATGAGAAAGAAATACATAAAGTAACAAAAGTTATTACTGGTCTTAATGACCTTGTTTGTCATATAAGATCATCTAGTAAAGAAAATAAAGATTAGATAGGATGAATTAAGTTCATCATTTATGATTTATCAATACTATATCCTAAATATGATAAATTTTCCTCACCTTTTTTTATCACACATTTAAGATGGGCTAGTTCATCTGTATCTATTTTTTCTGTTGAGTCCTCAGAAATTATGAGTGGATCTAATATCCGTACAGATCTGGATCTCTTTGTTTTTGTTCACTTACTTGATTGTGTTGATTTTACTGATGAGTTATCTATGAAAGAGCCATCTACCAGGTGATGAATCTGAGATGAGTCAAGAACTTGAAGCTTAGCTTCCTCAAGACCCTGTCTCTTCTCTGAATTATGTCTCTTTGAGTCTAAAGGTTTGAACTCTATATGGGTGACATTCATAGTGGAATTTGATTTATTATCGGAGCTGATGTCAGTGGCAGGCACATAAGTGTCATTGTTTCACAATAAGTCATGACTCTTCGACTCAAGACATTTGGTGTTTTGATATGTTGGGAACATAAAATTAGAGACATCATTATATGAGTATGATAGAGGCTAATTCCATAAAACTCTATTAGCTTCTGCTCCCCTTCAAATCCGATAAATACATTTTGTTGATGTTTTATACTTATCGGTCAACTCATTTAAAATTTTATATCTTGGTCTTTTATCACGACACTGCATAATAATTGAATAATCTTCTGGTGTAAAAATAGGTGCATCACATTTCATACGTATTCTAACCATAGTGATAAATACTTTATTCTTTTTGTTGATTTAAAAATATACAATATTTATATCCAATGAAAAATATAAAATAAATCAAAAAAATGTAATATATCAAATATATAAGTCTGATATTCAGTTAATACAAACGTTTAATCTAGTATATGTATTCCATTTTTTACATTTATTCTATATGATATATTAAGTCCAACATACATATATATTTAGCTTTGTTTATTTTATTCAAATATAATTACAATTTATTTTTAACTATTGTTATGGGTATTAATGAAGAATTGTGTTACGCTACAAAAATTATATCCAATCTAAATACTTGCAATGAATCATTAAGAGCTGATCGATTAAAGCAAGAGGAGAATTTTGATCAAGAAAGAAAGGGATGGGATCGGAATAGAAAGAAGTGGAGTAAAAAACTAGGAGAGGTTGTTACTGAGAATCAAAACCTGCAGTTTGAAAATGTTAGCAAAACTATTTCTCTTGTGAAGTCCAAAGCTGAAAATGATATAAAATCCAAGAAAATTAGATCGCTTGAGTCTATGTTAAGATATTAGAAAGTAAGTTATCTTCAATCCAGAAAGATACGATTTCTATTCAAAATAACTCATCAAAAAAAGAATCCAAGATATTATCCCTCAAGTCTAAAATAGCTGAAGTAGAATATGAGCTAGCTTCAAAAGTCAGTAAACTTGAGTGTCTGAAATTGGAGACTATATCAAAGCCCATCGTTGGTGAAGATATTGAAAAAAATATGCAAAGCGAGAAACAAAGTTCCATAACTAAGTCTGATGATATATCTTTGGGTAGTACTGATCTCAATAAATATTTTATATGCGGAAAAAATATGGATCCAATAGAAAAAATTGATAGTAATATATCAACATATACTAGTGGTGAGATTTCCGAACTATCAAAAAATAATACCAAATTATTACCAAGGCAAGTGATGAAATCAATATTAGCAAAACCAATAACAATACACTCCAAGAATTACTGAATATGGCTCCTTACCTTGCATAGCCAGAAAATTATAACCCTTCTTTGATCGAATCACATTCTCAGATGAGACCTAGTTTCGAGGCTTTGCCTCTTCCAATAGGAGTAATAGGAGCAATTCCTGCTGTAGCAAGTACTTTGATGTTACCATTATTAGCATATATATTACTTACTCTGTTAATTATTGCCGTTATGTGGTTCGTGGTATTGAGATGCATGTGGAGTATAGGCAAAAAAAGTGATAGGCTATGGGATACGTGGACTAGGTATTAGGAACTATCTATTTAAACTTTGATATTATTTATGTACGAAAAAATATTATTAATAATGTATAAGTATTTTAGTAGGGTATCGCAATTTTAATCAAGAATACTTAACAACATAGCATAACATAGCCAATCAATTCAAGGCTTTAATATATTTCTTGGGAATATGCATCAATCTATTTTTCTTTCTCATCTGAATCTTCAAGTTGCATAATTTTATGTGAAGATGATGGTTGATATTTCTCGTTTTCATTAATAAACTGGACACATAACCCCAACATACTTTCTAAATAGTGGTTGATATTTATTCCCATATTCTGTTCTTTTGCAAACTCTGGATATTCCATATAATCGTTAACTTTATACAGTATTAATCAACCCTTTTCATCACAACAACGCTTACCTTTTATTACTACATAACTAAAGTGTTCACTAGGATCCAGGATATTTAATTTTTTTTTCTTTCATTCGAGCTATAAAATGCTCGACACAAAGATTTTTTTTCTTAGGCTTCCACGTAGCTGTTCCAATAAATTGACTAAAGTCACATTGTTTATGTTTGGCCTCTCTAAGAGTATCTTCAACAATTTTATGGATTAATCGTGTATTATTTATATCCATAGCTTCCCACATAATTTTTTCACCATAAATTTGAAAAGCTAAGACTGGCCTTGTTTTACAGTATCAATCCCTTTTTTAAAGAGATTATCTGGCTTGAAATTGACAACTCCTTCATGTGATACATCAAAAGTATTTTTTCTTGCCGGTAAAGCAAACAGGAAATAATACCTCTTCGTATGCCATTTTAAGATAAGATATACCATTTTTTATCCTAATATAAGCATTTACTTGATCACATAACTTCTTATAGTAATTTTAACCATTTCAGACCAGTATTCATCCTTGGAAAACCAGTTTTCATTAAAAGCTCTATTACATTTTTCATAATATTTATCTGGAGAGGTAAGATATAAAAAATCAGTATCACCATATTTTATTCCGAAACCTTTTTCAGATACGAATTTGGCAACAAGATTAATATTGTATTGACCCGCAGAAGTGATTCCTCTAGCTAATTCACGAAGAAAGAATGGAGATTTGCTGTTTCTTGCTTCCCCGTAAAAAGTATTCATATATACCTTTAAAGTGAACTGTTTGGAATTTAAACAATTATAATCGAAACATATGGATAAATATTCTGAATTTAAGCTTTCTGGAATTTTTTTACCTTTCTCTTTAACTGAACTTATTATTTTCCCAATGTGTTCCTTTTTCTTTCCTAATAAAGCAAGTTGTGCTTTAAAATTTACTCTCTTGTTGAATAGATCCTCTAATACAATAGGATATAAACTCTTCTTCTCTAATTGATTATCATGTCTTACACACCAAGTATAGATAATACGGTTATTAAATGGAAACTCAATCTTATGCAAGTTATTTCTATTTTTTTGTATAATATCAGCCTCGCTATAAGTTAATATCATTCTTTCTGGAGAAAGGTTGTAATCCATAATAAGACTCGGATATAAAGATGCAAAATTCAATCCTGTAATAGGCCTCATTGTCTCAATTCCTTTTTTAGGTGGAAATACGTATGCGCCAGGATACTTACCTTTTTCTATATTTTTACATTGTCTCGTACTAAATAGTATATTACGTTTAGTGGCATAAGCACCCAGAAGGTTTCACACCTTCATTCCATTTGCCCGATAATGTGAATCAAACAAAGATGCATAAGCTATAGAAGTAAACTCCCTATAGTCATTAATTACTTTCCGCTTAACCATAAGCTCCTGGCAACACAATGCATCTATAATATAATAATATGCCACTTTACGCATGTTTTCTATAATAGAATGCGATTTATTTGCGGAAATATTCTCTTTTGCTTCTGAGTAAATTTTCCACATTTTATTATATGGCATATCCGCTTTACCCCCAATCCACATATTTTTAAGTAAAATGCAAGTGAATTTTATCAACTTCTGCACGAGAGTAAAGTTTCATAAAACATGCACGTACATCAATTGGTACACAACCTGGTATTTTAAGAAAAGTAGAAATATAATTATCTTCTGGACTAATCTTAATTATGAATGGTTGTTCTCTATCATTTTCTTCCTCACTATTATCAATAGCACCTTTTTTAATTTGAAAACTATTTTTAGATTTTCCCCCATTTTTTTATAATAATTCTATTTTAGAATTTCTTCCTTCGATTTAAATCTTCCCATCATCTGTTTCCACATCCATTCGAGAATATTAAGTCTATATGCTCTTTCCATAATAAATAGCCAATCATATTCAGAATCACTAAATCCGAGTTAAATATCAAGGATGAAAGCTTTCCAGCATAATGCAAATGCTTTTAGTAAATTTGTCTGGTTCCCACATACAACTGTTATCCATTGTGAATCTGGTGCAGTTTCAAGATAGACAAGACAGATTTGTTTTAATGGTCTTGGATTATCTTTCCAGTGCAAAGTCATACAAATCATAAATACGATACTTTCTTCATCATGTATTTCAGCATATTCGCCCAATTCTCGTACTTGTGTCTCTATATCCTATTTAAGGATAAGCGTATAATCTCTCATGAGTGCTAAAATCTGAAACTGGTCGTTTATCATTTTTAGATCTTCTACTGGTCGAAAATCATTTATAGAAACCTGAAAATCATGTGTATAATGAGAATGTTTTTTGTATACTTACTTACTTACTCATCATAGACCAACCAGAAATTGCGATTCTATTTTCTCTAGCTATTTTATGATGAAATGAGAACATATCATCTGAGGCAGTTTCGAATTTTTTATCTTGAATAGCTTGGAGGGCTTTTTTTCTATCTCCAGTACCAAATATAAAAATACGTAGATATAACTTTTTTTCTGTATTATATTCCAGTAATGGGAAGACTTCGATTTATTCCATTTTATAGGTATTTATTGTATTACAAAGAATTTTGTCTATTTTTATCTTAAAATTATCTACAAATTCATTATCAGGTATTAAGATATCAAAGAAAACTCAAATTCCTGTAAGAGTAACTACTGCTTTTTGACCATTGATAAGAGAGCCAACAATAGGATATTATAATTTCAACTGAGACAAACCAGGACAACAATGAACGACCATAGAAAGCAAATACATACACTACCTGGTGGGAAGGCAATGGTCATGGCTCAGGTGTAGGCACCACAATCTGACACAGTCTCAGAGACAGAGTCATCAGAATCAATAGATTCGAAGGTAGAATCCTTTGCATTGACCTTGCCTTTCCTAAAAAGAAATACATATGAATAATAGAAATATACTTATCCGCCAAACCTATTCAACAAAAAAAAAGACTAACACAAATAATAATTAACCCCAACTCCAAAAACAACAATGAGA